GTCTCCTGTCCTCTGTGGACACCACGAGTCCACTCAGTGTCTCCTGTCCTCTGTGGACACCATGAGTCCACTCAGTGTCTCCTGTCCTCAGTGTCTCCTGTCCTCTGTGGACACCATGAGTCCACTCAGTGTCTCCTGTCCTCTGTGGACACCATGAGTCCACTCAGTGTCTCCTGTCCTCTGAGGACACCATGAGTCCACTCAGTGTCTCCTGTCCTCTGAGGACACCATGAGTCCACTCAGTGTCTCCTGTCTCCATGTCCAGTTGTATGGACTGGCTGTCATTTTGTCCTTATTTTACCTGCTGTATGTTAACAGACCAATCTCAGATTTTTTCAAGTTTAATGGATTTTTTCWAAAAKCRAAGTTTCAGTTGTAATTAACATGTCAGAGCCTGTAGAACATTAAAAACCATCTTCTCCCCTCAGTTCTTCCTCTGCGTGCCTCAGGTGCTGACATCTTTGCAGCCGACCGTCCAGCTGTAGCACTGCCGTGCTCTGATTAATACAGGTTTTTGAGTAAAATTCCAGATTTCTGAGGCTCGTTAAACGGAAACATTGGACTGGGTTGACATGTATGCAGGTGGTGAGTTTTAACTTAGAGAATGAGCACTCAGAGGTTGCAACAGTGACTGGAGGAGTCAAAATAAAAGGAAAACGGTGCAAACCTCTGAATAAGTTACTGCTGGATGATCTGCAAAAGATTTTTGTTTGTTATCTGGTCCCTMGAAGAGGTTCTAGAACAAAGCAGACCAGGCTCTTCTGGATACATTCAGGGGAGAGCCCACGTTCTCCACCTCGCCTCAGGTGTGGAGGGTCGGCTCCCTACTGCCTCCAAACTGGTTTGGTCTCGTCAGGTCCAGTGAGAGGAGCTGGAGGAAATGTCAGATAAATCCAGTGATAAAAGTCTGAGTAAAAGAAGTCATTCTGTGGAAGATGGKCTAAACTCACTTAAATATGATTTCAGAAAGAAATGCACATGTATTATCATGGAGTATACATGTGGGCCCCAATGCCCCCCTCCCATCCCCAGAGTGTCAGCTCAGTTATCTGGACCCAGATTATAAAGAATTACAGTAATCCAGACCTGATAAATGCATGAATCAGTTTTTCTGCATCATTTTTGGACAAAATGTTACTAGTTTTACTGATATTACACAGGTGGAAGAAGGCGGTCCTGGTAACATTTTTAATGTGGGGGTTAAAAGACATGTCCTGATCAAAAATAACACCAAGGTTCTTTACATTAGAACTGGAGGCCAGATTAATGCATCCAGAGGAGCTGAAAGGCTACAAAGTTGATCCCTAAGATGTTCAGGTCCAAGAACCAGAACCTCTGTCTTATCTGAGTTTAGAAGCAGAAAGAATGTTCAGTGTTCTGGACCCTACAGAAACAGTTCTGATCTCTCTGGTACTGGACCCTACAGAAACAGTTCTGATCT